AAAGGAAAAAACAAAAAGGCCAAAGGTTGAATAATGGTATCTAAATGGAAAAGGAATGCATTCCAGTCAGAAGAATGAGCAAACATGATTGGACCCACGTCTCTGTTTCAAACCTAAGAGTCTACAAATGCAACTTACTGGAATGAAACAAAGTCAAACAGAACATTAACTTTAACTTGTAGAAAAAAAATCTACTAGATCTAACAGATATTGAGAACATTTTCTTAGAGATGGTTTCTACATAAAAGAAAGGCAAAAGGTCAAATATTTCAAATTATCTCCTTAACCAGTCAGCTCTTATGGTTTTTAAAGATACCAGCTGAGAAGGTAAAAAATGAAAGATTTTATGCAGAACCAGTAAAGTTTGCAGAGAGAAACCGTGTTGGGTCTGTGTCCAAGAGAGCATTCCAACCAGATTCCAAGGCACCTGTCCAAACGTACCTGAGCTAGACGCCAAGAGCCCACCACAGCACCAAGGAATCTGCCCCATTAGCGAGTTCTATCCCTCAAACTGATTCTAGAACACAAGACCCTACTTTTCCAAAGACAAAGGCTAGCAAAGTATTTAACCAAGTACATTTCTTCATGCCAGCCTGGGTTGTGCAGACTTGACAGGAGACAGGCCAAACAGGTCAGGGCCTCCTCCTTGTTCCTCCTTCTGGTCTGTCTCTCCCTGGCCCAACCTCACCAGCCAAGATAGCAGCTCTCCATGCTCTCACCTAGCTGGGTTCTGAGGAAGAAAGCCCCTCGGGAGCTACCTAAATTATCCGGAGGCTTCAAAGACTGGAAACTAAAGAAAATGAACCAGCAGCTCCTGACCTTGGAAGTATCTTTTTAATGCTATATTGTTGTTGAATACCACTGAGACAGTCTGACTCAGACTGACCCTATATAGGGTTTTGTAGGCGTGGCTGGGGAGTTTGAATCACCAACCTTGCAGTTCTGACTGATCTTGAAGTTGAGTGTTTATCTACAGTGTCATACAATAAGATATGGAAAAAAATACAGGGGCACAATGATCTCTTGGTGGCTTTGCCTTGAATATAAATGGCACACTGGGGGCTCCTTAAATCACCACTTCCTTCCAGAATCACTAAACTGTCTCTGCTCCACGGTCTCTGCTCTGGTCATGTTAGGATAGGCTCTAGGACCAACACACAGAAAGTCTTGCCCAGATGGGACTAGACCTTAGCAATGTAGCTATGGAAAACTGCCTATGGCCAATGGGGCAATTTCAAGGTGAATAGCCGCTGAGAGCAGAGACGCATCCAGTGTCTTGTCCAGCTGCCTCAGTCAGGCGACTTCGTATTTGTGGTGTCTCAGAATGTCACTCCACCCCTTGTCTGGCACCTGCCCACCCCTCAACTAGATCTAGATGTCTACTGTGCTTGAGGAGTTGGTTCCTACCAGGTGCACAGAAACTGCTCAGAAGCACCCCTGGCAGGTGGTGCCCAGGGACATGGTACCTCTGAAAGCAAACACACGTGTGCATCTACAAGAAAAAATAAGTGGGGCACAGAGCAGACATAGCATAGAGACAGAGTGTGTCTTGGGCTCATTCACCACACAGACGTGTGGATGAGAGTTAGTGCTTCCTTTCTCGGAGATCCCTAAGGTTTAACCCAACACTAGCACTAAGAAAGCTTCCAAAATAAGATACAACCGCAAACTCTAAAAGAGGAGGAATGGTTCTGTTGAGTCATGAAGCATCTGATGCAGAGAACACCCCCAACCTGTTCACAGTGCATGACTTCAGGCTGAACCTTTCTGCCATTGCCCTGAGGCTGGGCATGCTGCCAGCCTCCCAGAGCCATACCAGGCAGGTTCCTTATGGGTTTCTCTGTGGTCTGGGCTGAGCTTCCCCAACACTGCACACAGTAGCTCAGGCTGCCAAGGAAGACATCGCTAATAAGCCTAGCTAGGCTACTTCAGTCTTGCTTTGTTGTTGATGTTAGCAAAGGCTATCGACTTTGGATGGCTGTTCCTCTACTTGTTTTACTTTCAATCAAAACTCTCTTACAAGATTTTAATTTGTTAACACAGCCTGTCCTTTTCTCAGCTTAATATGGAGCCAAAAAGTGTCTTTAGGCTTTCAAGACTGTAGTCCCTCTAATAATAAAGGGAAAGGGGCTCGCCCACATGCCTTCAGCAGTATGAAGTGGGGAGAAGAGAGAGCTCACCAAGCTTAGCTTTCTCTGAAGACATCAGGCTTGCATCATCTAAAACCACCAGAGAATTAACCAAATGCTTGAGGGATTCAACTGCACTGTCCAAATTCAAATTTTACCAGGAACAGCAATTCTCCTCAGGGCGACGCAGACTATGAAAGCCAAAATCATCCCAACAACACTGACCCAAACCAAACTGTCATGGGCCTAAACTGGAATTTCCTTCAATTCACAGAGAGGTGGCTTTTAAGCCCCATTCATACCCCAATCTAGACTGTCTTCTGCTTGCACATAGAAGGCAACATAAGAAAAATACAGATGTCTTTTTACTCCCCACAGACAACAATGTTCCCTTCATAACTTTGCCTGAGCACACCGTCTAACTGGGATAAGATACAGGAATGTGTATCACAGCCACTAGAAGGTCTACAAGGCCACTTCTGGGTCTAGTGGGAGCTCATTAACCATAAGCAAAAACATGAACAAAACGAGGGGAGCCTCATGGCACAAAAGATATTAAAGTTACTGGAACCGAAATCACTGGAAAGTTCTAATGCCAGGACACAAGCTGCCTCCTAAGTCTCCCTGTGCTGTCAGATAGCCCCCACTTCCTTTCATCCACCAGCATCTCCACTTGGATGACCCCTCCTCAGGAGGCCCAGCCATTGTGGCCTTTTCATCAGCCAATAAACTGGTTTTCTGGAAGTGACCATGGAGCCTTTGACAACACGCAGGCCTGAATGGTATCTTTTTCCCCAACTTCACTTCAAAGGCCATCATTTAGGAAAGCCATGTAACATGTGATTCCTAGCAGGAGATGTCTGATAAATTCTGGGTCGTCCTTCTAAGTGGGCCCTGTTTAATGTGAAGCTAAGTCTTTGAGACTCTGCTTTGAGACTCAGAGGGAGGATAAGCCCAATTGTGACTAACCATACACACTCAACCAATGTGAAATAAATATAAAAAATGAACAAACAAATCCAGATGTCATTATCCTCTCCTCAACGAAATCACTCCATCCAATAGTGTTGAAGTTTGGGGAGCAGAGTTTGTGCTGCCTCACAAGGTATGTGGGGAGAAGGCTCTGTGACGGCAGCTGGGCTGTTCCTGCTCGGACCAGGCCTGGCTGCTCTCTTGAGTACAAAGCGGAGGTGAGTGTCCAGCACACTGGCTGGCGGGTTCTGCCCTAGCAGCCTTGGAACCATGAGCAGACGTGGCACTCAACAATGTCACAAGGGCCACTGCCATGAAAGGAAGGAGGCACAGCAGAACTCAGACTGAACCAGATGTTCAGTTCAGGGAGCCAACTCCAAACCCCCACCCTTCAGAGGCAGCACAGAACCATTTCCTGTGCTCCCTTCCTCACCCAGCAGCGTTAACTCATCAGTCCCCCAGCCCTGTTTCTGACGAAGGCAGCACCACATGTGCACAGATGAACACTTGTCGCACACGCTCCTTCCCTCACCCTCTCTGGCTCTCAGAGATGAGAGTTGTAAACGGTCATTAGAATGAGACCATGGGGAGGCTCCACATTACGGAAAAATCTTCCAGCCAACAGTAAGTGGTTGTTTTTTTTTTCCTTGGTAAGGACTACACACAAAATTTTGGAGCTAGAATGAGATTTGTAAACACTAAAAACAGTTCCAAGAGTGAAAACCTGACAAATTAAAACGATTTCTCTATAAAAGATATCATTAATTAATCTCCAATAGTGAAAACAAAAAAGCAGAACAAAAAAAAAAACCTAGAGCAACATAAGGGCTCATTGGAATTCATTCATCACAAATAATACACTTCAAGAGTCCAATCATAAACCTTAAGTAACTAGAATTTCCCCAACAACTTCCAAGATCCATGTTTGTGATTATGACCCCGAGGTACCACAAGCCACACCAGTACCTTCTAAAACTTCCATGAAGAGACGTGTCCCCATGGTGCAAATTCAAGTATCTCAAACCCTAGACAATTGTATTCAGAACCACTTTAGAACTCTTCTCAGGCATCGGAAAATGAACATACATCCCCTAAAATAGGGTGTACAAGTGTTTCTATAACACACAACACCCACCCACCTCCACCCCCGAGCAAACTGTGGTCCATGTAGCCAGCAAATGGACATGGACAAATGCTTTGGCTGGTGGGATGGATTGCATGTATTTCATGGTGTCTTCTACTTGAGAAGGTGAAATGACAAAATCTGCAATTTAGTTTCAAAGTATTCAGGGTAGGCAAGATACTGGAAAGCAAGATAGTCCCCATATTCTGGAGAAGGACTGGGGATTCAGGAAAGCGATTCATTTGAAAAAGAATGCAGTGATTTCTCAGCAGGGTAGGAAACAAAACGTGGCCCTCCCATGAGTAAGCAGTACTGTGGAACTATCACATGGGGACAGCAGCTCTTCCTAGCCAGTAAAGTCCAGACCCAGTAAGAGTTCAACCAACACATTCCTCTGTCAAGACCCTCAGAATCCCACAAGGTCTTTCAGGCTTGTGCTGGCTGTCTTGTGCCCAGGTAAGGAAGACACAGAGGAGGTAAGGAGCCCGGCAGTGACCTCGACACTGCTCTGGAGCTTCCAGAAGCTGCCCCAGAACTGCTGCTGAGGAACTCTCCAACCTGGACCTTCAACTCCTTCATTGTTCTTTTCTCCTCTTAGCAGACCCATTACATGTGCCAGGGTGGTTCCAAGACAGATGTGAAGCTGGGCTAGGGGACTGTTAAGAGCAAAGATGGACATGGACAGCCAGTGAGGCCAGCGGCCTCCATGGCCACCACCGGCCAGAGAACTGCTATCTGACAAGCTAGGTAGTGGGGCTTCATCCACCCACATACTTGCCAACAGGGCCATTCACAAAACCCTTTTCCCAAATGAACTTTTACCAAAGAGGACAAAATTCAACATAATCTCATGAAAATCTGACGTGATGAGAGAGAAAAGTTGACGGCAGGGACGGTTGGAGGGTGGAGGCCTCTGAAGGTCCTCACGTGTCCAAGCGCTGGATCTCGGGCCGACCGTCTGCATCTCGGGACTCAGTGCGGGCTCGGATGTAGTCGTTGGTGCTCTGCTGGTGGAGGCTGACTCTCCATTTCTGCACGGATAGGAACACGTTCACCGTATACACCCCGGTTGCCAGGAAGCCAAATATCTAAAAGAAATGGGCCTGGTTACTTCTCGTGCATGTTCCTGGCTGTGGGATCTTGGGCAGGAGCAGGGCCTGGCTAGCTTCCCTGGTGACCTTAGATGTGTGCAATTTCCCCCAGCGGTGACCCTAATGCCCAGCCCCACTGAGGTTTAACTGTCAGGCCAGGATGGCCCACTTATGTCCTGCCTGGCCAGAAGACAGCCTAACGCTTCTTTTGAAGCATTTTAGACCTTTTTTTTTAAGACCTTTTTTAAAAAAAAAAATAAAATCCCTCTTTCTACAACACCCTCATGCTTTGGTGTCAGGTGAGAAAGTGCAGTGTATTCACCTACAAAATAGGCAAAAAATCTGTGGTCTCCTATGTGAACAACGAATCAAGCCACAAGGCCCCCCAACCTGCTACCCAGCTGCCCCTTCCCTCCAAGTGCTCAGTGCCAGGATGAAGGCACAACAGGGTTTTCGATACCTGATAACAAGCGGTGACGCCATCGAGCGGCACTCGGGGCAACAGCTAGTTCAAGCATTTCTAGAAACACTTCCAACTCCTGCTCCCATCCCCTAAGTGATCACGTTCTTTGTAAATATAAGACTACAGAATAGAGAGCGGGAGAATCTGTGTGTTCCCATCCCTTCCCCATGGCACTTGATCACTAAATGGGAGGCTGCCATCTTTGTCATGAAGCCGCCCTGCTCCCTGCAACCTCACCAGCAGCCTTCCCTGCGGACTTGAGAGTACCCACTGAGGCCTGGCTACAATACATTTCGGATTCCATGGCTCTGGGATGGGGACTGAGAAGGTGCGTTTCTAACAAGCTTCTGGGAGATACAGAGGCTGCTGTTCCATGGACCACACTTGGGGAGAAAGCAGACCACAGAGGGATCATTTCCATTTGGGTTTACTTACCACAGCAGCAATTTCTGCTCCTGCTTTGTGGTTTAAAGCAGCCAGTACAATTGATGCAATAAAGAAAAAGAAAGTGCTTAGTCCAGTGTTGACCAAGTCCTAAAGAGAAAGAGAAAATAAAATCACTTAAAAGAATCAGTCAAATGTAAAGGTAGGCATTTTGTAGTAAAAGCGGGGGGAGTGATGGACTTTGCAGTGGAGCAGAGGTCCCTGGGACCATCAAGGGAGAAGAGCAGAGTGAGGGATCCTACCCAGAGATGGAGGCAGAGACAATGACACGGAGAGATGGAGTGGCAGGGGACTCTAGAACCAGAGAGGGAGAGGGGCTGTGTGCTGACGACCAGGAAGGGGTGGGGGGGCAGGCTTGTAGTGTATACCCTTTGGTTGGTTGATGATGCATGGAGGGGATTGTAACCATGGCAATGAAATGATATACAATGGGATGAATGTAAAGCTAATGTTCTCCCATGTAAACTATCACATAATTCACAATAAAACATAAAAAAAATCATTCCATCTTTGAGCCTAAAACCCATGAAGAACTCTCAAAATAAAGAGCACAATGCCCACCCTCCACCATAGTTCCACGTCTAGACGCAAAGCCACAAAAAGGAAAGAAAGATGATAACTGTCTATGATGCTGTTTGATAAAGTCCATACTGTCACCATTGTTTGGAGTTCTTTTGTCATCTATTGAAAAGCACATTCAAGTCACCTTGGATGGACATAATCCTTGAATCCAGTATGTACTGAAGCTGGTACAATCATTATGAAGATACCCCCTCACTCATTTGTGGTGTTGAAAGCATGTCACTTTCAGCATAGAGGACACACCTAGCTAGATCTGCAGAGTTTCCTGTACATGGTCTTTCAAACCTCTAGGTTACTAAAACTTAGAGAATTTTCTCCTAAGCTCCTTGAATACCAAATGAGAGTCCATGTTAAATGTTTTAAAGACCTTACCTCCTGGTAAGTGATTGCTTGCAGAAAGAAAACAGCATGGGCTCTAACTGTGACAAGAGTGTGAGAGGACAAGCTACCTAATTTCTCTATATTACTTGGTTACAGAGCTAGAAGCTCCTAAACAGGAAGCAACGTAGTTTAGATGATTAAACGTTTCAAATGCTTTTTATGGGACATGTACTCTACCAAGCCATATGCTTTCCAGTTGGTCACAGTCTTGTCCACTCTCTACCGCCTCAAGCCCAGTTACTTGGTGTTACCTGCCTGGCCCCTGAGGACACCGTCAAGGCTGCTGCATTTCAAGAAGAGTGAAAGGTCAAGGAAAGGGAGCCAATCAATCATCCTACCCTGCTACTGGGCTCTCTCTATCAGTAGCACAGCGATGCCATTGAAGGTGTGAGTTCAAGCAGATCAGCAGCAGATCCGCACAATGGGACATATCTGGCCCCCAGACAGCTTTAGTTGACTTGCACAATGTTCCAAACAAACCTGAACAAGCTAGCATTCACACACCAGACGACTGCACATAAAAACTCAATTCTCAGCTGCTCTTGACAAACTGTATCAGAAATCTCAAGCAGTAACAAGACAATCTGCGGGAGCTGAGTCAGACTCCTCCCTCCCACATTGGGTTCCAGTCTTCTCACTGGCCCATTCATGGCATGCGCCCACTCCCAGGAACAACATGTCTGTCCACTCCCACACTTCCATAGTTTGTGCCCTGTGAGCATATTATTAAATACACCACTGTCAGTATTCTTCGCCAGCACCATGCTTACCAGTGTCTTATCCACAGTCTGTTCAGCAGATGTTTACTGAGCACCTGCTTTGTGCCAGAGCAGATAGGTGCATGCAGTTCTCGTGTGTTAAGCATGCTATGTTATATAAGGTATGGAAACACAGACCAGGGGTAGTGAATTCCAGAAAGTCCAGAGAAAATGCCAGAATCCAGTTGGGCCTTGCAAGCTGATTAGGTGCTCACAGAGCACAACCGTGGAAGTGTGGGAGTGGACAAACATGTTGTTCCTGGGAGTGGGCGCATGCCATGGATGGGCCAGTGAGAAGACTGGGACCCAAGGTGGGAGGGAAGAGTCTGACTCAGCTCCCGCAGATTGTCTTGTTGCTGCTTGAGATTTACCACTGTCAATATTAAGGAGCTCTGGCAGCGTAGTGGTTACGAATCGGGCTGCTAACCTCAGGGTCAGCAGTTAGAAACTGCCAGCTGTTCCATGGGAGAAAGATAAGGCTTTCTGCTCCCGTAAAGATTTACAGCCTCGGAAACCCTGTACAGGGTTGCTATGAGTCAGAACCGACTCCACGGCACATTAACAACCACCGTCAATATTAAATATACAAGCAAGTCTGTGTTGAAAGACATATAGTCAGAAAGCTCGTTAGAAGCAAGGATGGCAAAACTTCATCTCCTTGAGGCATGGAGAGAGGGAGCAGCTGAGGACTCTGGATGCATGGAAAGAGAGGTACTGGGTGCTGGCAACGAGGAGGCAGGCTTGCAGAATGTGCCCTTTCAGGGGTTTAAATTATTATATATTCTTGAGTGTTTCTGTGTACATCCCCCGCAAAAAACAACAACGACAAAAATCAATAAAAACAGGGAATGGAAACAAATACTATTGAATGATGGTGCATGGAGGAGATTGTAATCATTGCAATGAAATGATGGTGTAAAGCCAATGTTCTCTCATGTAAACTATCACTCAGTTCACAACAAAAACTTAGGAAAAAACAACTTCATCTCTTGTACTTTGGACATGTCAGGAAGAACCCGTCCCTGGAGAAGAGGATCAAGTGATTGGTAAAGAACAGGGTCAGCAAAAAAGAGGAAGACCTTCAATGAGATGGATTCATCCAGTGGCTGCAAGACTGGGCTCAAACACAGCAGTTGTGAAGATGGTACAGGACTGAGCAGTGTTTCGGTCTGTTGTACACTGTGGACATAATGAAGCGGAAATGACTCGAAAGCACCTAACGAACACAAATATGGGCTGTCACTGCAATCCTGCCTGAGGCTCCAAATCACTGGCTCTGTGGCTGCCTCTAATCTCAGTCCTGCACATAGTTGAGACAAGAAAGTTTAAGATGACTCTGGACACATATCCATAAGTATAGGTCAAGTTCATCAAATTGTAGCTATTTACACTCACTTCCTTTATCAAAAATTGTTTTTTTTTTTAAATCTTCCTCTAGTCGAGTTCTGATTATTAAGCCATTGAGGCTAGGTCAAATGGGTACTTTCTGCAAGTTTGGGTGTTCTTGTATGTCTCCCCTCACTTCATATCAGCTGGATACTTCACTCTCAGCTCTAGCCCTCCATGGCTATGTCATTGTCCATGGGGGCACAGGTGTCCCCAGGTCTCACCACACTTTGGACCGACCAGCCCTTCCTCTTCTCTCTCTCATCCCCAGGTCAATGGGAGTCTATGGAACGTGGTGGAACTCAGCCTGTTTCTTCATTGCTGCCTTTCTGCCTCTTCCACTCACCAGCAGACCAACATGGTCACCAGCAAGTTTCGATGCCTGCTCATGTGGTTCCCTTTGAGGGTCATTTCATTTTTGATGATTTCTAATTTTCGTAGATTCATACTTCATACATTCCGTGTTCCAATTCTTAATGGATGTTTACAGCTGTTTCTTTTCATTTTGAGTCATGCCCCATCAGCAAATGAAGGTCCCAAAAGCTTTGTTCTATCTGTATCATTTAAGGTTGATGTTGCTTGAGGAAGCAGCTCTTCCTCAGACGTATTTTTGAGTACCTTCCAACCTGAGGGGCTCATTTTATGGCAGGATCAGCACTGGACTGGGGAACTACAAGATCGACAGTTCAAACCCACCAGCTGCTCCTTGGAAATTTCATACAGGGGCACTATGAGTTGGAACCAATCAACGGCACTTCACAACAATGAGACAATGTTACACTATTATTCACAGGGATTTCGGTGGCTAATCCCTCTGCCTTCTTCCTAGTCTCGTTTTAGTCTGGAAGCTCTATTGAAAGCTGTCCACCATGGGGGACTCTGCTGGTCTTTGAAACACTGGTGACCCAGCTTCCAACATCACAGCAACACACAAGCCGAACAGAGAAGTGAAGGGTTAGTCCCAAAGAACGTTAAAAAGAAAACTACCATTACCAGGAATCTTAATGTCGTAACATAAGACTGCTAATTTTTCATTTGTCATCCATATTTATGCTAACCCACATTCCTGAAGGGCCTGCTTTTCTAAATCTCTGCCAAACATACCCTATTTGATTCCCCAGCTGAGTCTTTTGGGGACAAAAAAATGCCCCAAGCACCATGCTGGAAGAACACAACACAGCCAAGACCACCCTTCATTAGCAACATGATGAACAGGATCAGCCTGTCCCCTCGCCCAGAGAATGGATTCCTCAAGTTGATGGACTGTATACCCCTTTCTTTTGAATAAGCATACCTCTTCATCTACCTCCAAAGCAGGGAGATTTTGGAAAGGACCCAAGGGACAGGAAGGTTTTCCAAGTGATCACATCACCACCTAGACATGGGCCCCAAACAACACCCTCCAGAAGGCCAGCTATTGACATTCTAGAGGGAAAAAAATATCTTCAAGCTGACCACATAACATGATACTACAACCAATGGCAAAATCATTCATGATTGAAAGAGAAAATTCAGAATTCCAGAGTGGTCACTTGATAGGTATTTCCGGGGATAAGGTCAGTATCAATTACTGAGAAATCTGAAGCAGAGTCCATTAGCAGACGTAAGGCTTTCATATAAGTGGCAAACCAGAATTAGAAGCGTAAAGCCAAACCTGGTGGAAGTCTACAGGAGAATGGAGTGAGCTATAGTCAGCACAGCCTGCTGTACCCACCTCTGCTAAAACTCACTGCCAGCAAGCCAGGTTCCGCCTCCTGGAGACCCTACAGGTCAGAGGAGAACTGCTCCCTCTGGTTTCCGAGACAGGAAGTCCTTACAGGAACAGACAGCCTCGTCTTTTCTCCTGTGGTGCTGCTGCTGGGTTCAAACTTCTGTCTACACAACCTGGAACTCTTACCTCTTACTAGTGGTGAGAGGCGTATTCTAATACAGCAGCACCCACTGCTTTGAGAGCTCACACAAAAAACACCACATTATACACTTTATCATCTCATTTTATTCTTAAAACAACCCTGTAAGAAAATAATATTCCCACTTTAGCAGCATAGGCTTTTCATTAAGAGACTTGCCCAAGGTCTTACACAGACTTTTAAAGCCACTTCTTGTAAGCTGGGCCCAGCCAGATCTATCTGAATCAAAGTCCTTGTGTGTATATCCTTTCTAGCCATCAGGTCTTTATCAAAAAGCTCCTCTTGGCAGGGTTTCAGAGTCCTGGTGTGGCACTGTAGGATAAGCACTGGGCTGCTAAACCACAGGTCAGCAGTTCAAACCTACCAGTTGCTCCTCAGAAACACTAGATAGTGTTTTTGTAAAACTGTATAGTGTTCCTGAAGCGGCGAGAAGAACAGAAGATACTTCTTGAAAGAAAGACCGACAGAAAAAATACAAAACAGTACGACTGATTACTACAAGAACAAGCAAGTTGCTCGCCCAGGAGGCATCAAGGCAAGTGGCTGGGTCCCCTCACGGCAAAAACCCCCTTCCAAGACTAAGACTCAGTGGGAATACACACTCTGATTGGTGACCACATTTGTCACCCATAAGGGGAAGTGAGGGAAAAACAGCAATGAAGCTGCAAGCTAAGCCCTACAACATTCAATAGACTCCAGTGAACCCGGGTGCAGAACCCAGTTGGCCAGCAGTGTGGCAAGACCTGGGAACTCTTGGTCCCAGAGTCAGTGACATGGCCACAGAGGACTAGAGTGGAGAGTGAAGTGTCCACCTGATAAGAAGAGATGCCATATGCATAAGAACACCTAACACTTACAGATAATACCCACTTGGCCTGGCTTCAATGGCTACATGATCAGAGCTCAACTAGAAGAAATAAGAGGAAAAAGGAGTAATCTGATACAACTTGATGAACCTGGCCTACACCTATGGATGCAGTAGCTCAAAAGAGGGAAAAAATCTTTATAGCAAGGATCGTTCCCACCCCCTCAATACACAGAGTAGACAGGGATGGGCAACTCGGATACTGGCTACCCAAAATGGAGGGGTGGGGGGAGTGGCCTACAAAGGCAAGAAGTGACTGACTTACAAGCTTTCAAGAGGGAACTTAGATCCAGAGGGTACAGAGGAAGATAGAATCTCCACTGAGTAGTATCCAATCTGTGTGGGCAGGGCTGATGAAGGAGATGCAGATGGGTCTCTTGTGATACAATAGTTAATAATTGTTATCAGGGCTGATCGTGAGGGTTGGAAATGTAAAGGTAGATGTTTTGTAGCAAAAGGAGGGGAGTGATTGACTTTGCAGTCTAGGAGCGGAGGTTCCTGGGACCATCAAGGGAGAAGAGCAGGGAGCGGGCCCCTACCCAGAGAAGCAGTGACGCCAGAGATGGAGGCAGAGATGATGACGTGGAGATATGGAGTGGCTGGGGACTTCAGACCCAGAGAGGGAGAGGGGCTGTGTGCTGAGGACCGGGGGGCAGGCTTGCAGGGTGTACCTTCTGGTTGGTTGATGATGCATGGAGGGGATTATAACCATGGCAATGAAACGATATACGATAGGATGAATATAAAGCTAATGTTCTCCCATGTAAACTATCACATAAATTCACAATAAAACATTAAAAAACACACACAACTGTATAGTGTTTCTATGAAAACACTTAGCAACATAATAACATGGTTTCACTCGCTTTTAGCCAAGCCCCTCCCCTAACAAGTACTTATTAGTGATACCAGAGGCCAAGGATCCCAATGACCAAGACAATGGCCTTCCCTCATGGAGATGGCATTTTAGTTGAGTGAGATTTATGAAGTTCTCTCAATCTGACTGTTGCTGTTATTGTTATGTGCCGTGAAGTCGGTTCCAAATCATAGCGACCCTGTACAGGGTTTCCAAGGCTGTAAATCTTTACTGGAGCAGAACGCCTCATCTTTCTCCCGCGGAACAGCTAGTAGTTTTGAATTGCTGACCCTGAGGTTCACAGCCCGATTTGTAACCACTACGCTACCAGAGCTCCTTCTTAATCTGATTACTATATTCTAAATTCTGTTTACTATACTATCAAGGATAAGCACTGGACAGCTAAACACAAGGTTAGTGGTTCAAACCTAACAGCCACTCCTTGAAAGCCCTATACAAGGTTGCTATGAGTCAGAATTGACTCAATGGCACGTAACAACAACAACACCACTATCAATTCTGTAAGTATTTTCTCATAAGGGTAGGACAAACATCATGTAGGGCAGTTCTACTCAGTCACATGGGGTCACTTATGGGTTGAAAAGTGACTTCAAGGCACCCAACAAAAACATTACAAAGAAATAGATTCAAAGCTAATAAAAAATCTCAAGAAAATAAAATAGTTGAGACATTAAAACCTGTCACAAAAACATAGGACAAAATGCTCTTGAGGTTTTGGAGATTAAATTTAAAATGCCATCATGTTTTCCTCAGCTTTCCAAGGTGAGACAAAACAAACTTGAGTTTTCCACTGGTGTCTGCTTTGCTAGGTCAGCAGCTCTTGCTCTCTGGATTTTTTTTTCTCTCCTAGAAAGAGCCAGAGCCAACTGGGACAACAGTGAGGAAGACTGCCCACTTCACATCCCAAAGGACCACCATGGTTAAGGGAATGGTCACCAGCTCCTGCAGCAGAGGGGACACCTTCTCCGGGTGCCCACAGGCACAGGCACATTGCATCACCAAAGAGACAGAGGCAAGCTTGACTGTCCACGTGGCTCAAGAGCCCTGTTCAGGATGGGTGCTCTGCTATGGTCTCCTTCCTCTTGGCAGGAGACCCTGTACCCATGTGGGTCTCCCTAACTGATTTGCTGAGCTCTTGGCCATGGATGTTTGCAAAGAAATATCAACAATGCAAAGTGATACTAAGTTTCTTTCCTCATTCCACAAGAAAGGACAAGTAATGCGGTCCATTTAAAGGGGCCTGAGGGTGGGCAGCCCTGAGTTTCCCACCCAACCAGAGAATGTCAAAGAGGCTAAGAACCTAAACCAGAGAAAAGGAAACATTTCCACTCCAGACGTTGTGCTCAAACCACTTCGCCCTCTTGGTCCTTTCAGTTGCTTTGAAGTTAATACAAAAATCTGAAACCAACACAAACCCCTACCATCAAGCCCTGCCTGAGTCATGGTATTGCTAAGTGCTGTCGAGTCCGTTCCAGCTCATAGCGACCCTGTATAGGCTTTCTGAGGCTTTCCATCTTCACGGGAACAGAAAGCCTCCTCTTTCTCCCTCAAAATGGCTGGCAGGCTTGAACCACGTAGTCTGTGGTTTGTAGTCCAGTGCTTATCATATGAAGTCACAACGACCCATATAAGGTTTCTGAGCTGTAAATCTTTATGAGAGCAGAAAGTCTCATCTTCTCCCATGGAGCAGCTGGTGGATTTGAACTGTCAATCTTTAAGTTAGCAGTCCAGTGCTTATCCCACAGTGCCACCACGGCCTTTAATAATATAAGAGGGCTTCAAAAAGTCCGTGAAAAAATTCCATTATCTTCTAATTTTATTTTTTCCATGAACTTTTTGAATCCCTCTTGTATTTCTAGGAATATGTTTGGGCAAGCTCTGCAAGTTACTGGCATTTTCAAACAGATGATCATTTCTTCCAGAATCAATGCTTTTATAAATGGCTTTCATGTCCAGTCTGAAAAACAATGCAGATCTATCAATTCCATGTTTCTCTTTCCATTTTCGGCAAACATCAGCATTACCGATCACAACATTGAGAAGGCATTACAAGGGAAATACAAGAATTCTGTTATAATGTGTCTACCATGAGTGAAAGGAGCTGATGGTTACGAAGAGGGCTGCGAATCGCAAGGTCAGCAGTTCGAAACTACCAGTTGTTCTGCGAGAGAAAGATGAGGCTTTCTACACAGCACATAACCACCACCACCACCATTAGTGAAGACTCCATTTCTTTTGTTGTTCTATTTCACCGGTCACCAAATTCAGAGTTTCACAGCTGAGTCATGAAGGAGTATTTAAGTGTCAAACAATGAGCTGGAACCAAACAAGACATGGAGAGGTGCCACATTTCCCTTAGAGACACGGCAGTGGCTTGTACTCACTGTCAGGTTCCAGTTGATCTGGGGGATCCTCACATGAAGGTTGAGACTGAAGAGAATCAGCAAAACTCCAGTCACCACAAATGCGCTACAGCTTACAAACTCAAAGAAGTACAGGCCTTCACACGGGGAGCACTCCATGATGGTCTCTATGCAGATGAACGCGATCAGAGCCAGAATCTAGGAAGAGAACGGGAAATACACATGTACGGGTGTAGGTAATTAGCACACAACGGTGAGCTTGTGGATGGTCTCCAAGCATATGAATACCATCAGGACCAGAATCTACAATGAGAACAGGAAATATACATGTATGGGTGTAGTTGGTATATCTCGGTGGATTTGTGGACCTGGCTTGCTTAAGTTAAACCTAATAGTCATGTACAGACACAGAGTTCTCCAGAGACAGCAGTTGTATCTGCCATAATCCATCCTTATGAAAGAACAGGTGTAAGGGCCAATTCCTAGTACAAACACTAACCACCATAGGGACCACATCTAGCACTGTGTGGCCACTGGGCATGAACTGCTATCTCCTGTGAGGAAGCAGAAAAGAAAGTTGTGGAGATGTTTTTAGTTCTTCCTCTGCCGCTGTAAGTAGACATGGCCTAATGAACAGTTTCTAACCACAACTATGCCAAGCATTAACCAAAAACCCCACTGCCATAGAGCCGATTTTGAATTCTAACAACCCTGTAAGACAGATCGGAATTGCCCCAAAGGCTTTCCAAGGCTGCATCCTGGTACGGCTCTGCAGAATAAGCAATGGACTACTAACCACAGAGTCAACCCCCCCAGCTGCTCCTTGAAGCCTTATACAGGGTCACTATGGGTTGAAACCGACTCTACGGTACTAACAGCAACAACAGCCTTATGGAAGCAGACCGACCCATCTTTCTCCTATGGGTCAGTGGGGGGTTAAAACCACTGACCTTCTGGTCAGCAGTCAAGCACTGTTGTACCACCAGGGTTCCTTGGGCCAAACACTGAGAGGACAGAATCCTAGCTGTGGTCATTGCATTTTCAGGAATAAACCCTATCTGTTCAGGAATAAACCCTATCTGTAACTCCACTGCAGGTAATGCTGAAACCATTCAGGTTAACGGGGACACCGGATAGCTTTTAAAGAATGACTGGTATAACCCCTCAATAACATCCCCAAATCAAACAGTCACCGAGTTGACTGTGACTCCTAACAAACCCACAGGACAGAACAGAACACAACTGGCCCCTAACTTAACCACCCTCCAGCACATACCACCCCAGAAGCCCCTAACGACAAGGGGTCCACCTCATCTATTTATGAGCCATGCTTTTTAAAAGCATATTACTGGACTTGATATAAAAAGATTTATTGGCAATTTATTATTATTTTTTTTAATAACAAAACTTTAAAAAAGATCTACCAGTAATAGAACTTCTTTCCAAAGGACCAAAGTGACATTCTAGCAATATGTTCCAAAAGATCTGAGATGATAAAGTCAAACAGATGTCAATGGAAATGACCTGGTCAACTTTTAAGGCCATTTTCAGAAGGAGGCCCAAAGTCTTGAAGGAAAGGCCAGGGGGTGGTGAGTCTCTAAACCCAGATCAGTCTTGGGCTCACAGCCCACCCACCACAGATCACCTTTCAGGTCAAGGAGGTGCGCAGGCAGGTCTGTGGTCCCGGACTTGTCCTGGAGAGCCAGCACAGGCGGCCTCCTCCCAGAGACTTCTCAGAACTGCTTTCTGCAGGATTCCCGGATGGCTCAAGTGTGGGAAGCCTGCAAAGTACAGCCTGCTCCTAGGGCCCTTCACTGCCTACGGAAGCCCGCTGTCTCTTACAATGCTCCACTCCCTGACAGACACTGATTTCACCCTCTCCCAGGAAAGCTGCAATCTGTGACTGCATTCTACCATCATGCATCTCTCGGCCTCCAGAGTCCTTGAGGGCAAGGCCCAGTGCATCGCTTCCTACCTCAAGGCACCAAGTACAGTGACACAAGCAGCAGCAAATGGGCATTCACTGAGCCACTAAGTAGCCCATAGTCTACAATTCCTGAAAGAAGTGCTGGTGGTACAACCGCTAAATGCACGAATGCTAAATGAAAAGTGGGCCCTTCCGACCCACCCAGTGGCTCCATGGAAGAAAGACCTGGCAATCTACTTCCGTAAAGATTGTTATTATTATGTTATTAAATGCCATCAAGTCAGTTCCAACCCACAGCGACCCTGTATAGGGTTTCCAAGGTGCGACTGGTGAGCTTGAACCACCAACCTTGCAGTTCAAACTGACTTTGCAGTCTAGCACATTAACCCACAGCGCCACACCAGGACTCCGTAGAGATTACAGCCAAGAAAACCCTACTGTTGTTACGTGCCATCAAGTCGGTCCCAACCCACAGCGACCCTGTATCGGGTTTCCAAGGTGCGACTGGTGAGCTTGAACCACCAACCTTGCAGTCCAGCGCACTGGCCCACAGCGCCATGCCAGAACTCCTAGAAAGCATTACTGTTGTTGTTAAGTGCTGTCGAGTCAGTTCCAACATAGCAACCCTGTATAGGGTTACCAAGGAGAAGCTGGTGAACTTGAACTGCCTACCTTGAGGTTCAAACCGACCTTGTCGTCCAGCGCATTAACCCGCAGTACCACAGCAGGACTCAGAACTTTATAAGGCAGTTCTAATCTGTCGCATGGATCACTATGAAATGACTCAATGGCACTCAATAAAAACACAACTCTTGCGGAACTTACCAGGGTCTTCATACGAAGGAGCCTGGGGGACATAAGTTCCACACTGGGCTGCTAACTGCAAAGTCAGCAGTTCAAATCCACCAGCCGCTCCATGGGAGAAAAGAGGAGGTTTTCTGCTCTCGTAAAGATTGACAGCCTCTGAACCCTTCTATACGGTCACATCAGTCAGAAATGACTCCACGGCAGTAGGTTTGGATTTTGGTTTTGGTTCACATGAACGTCAGGTAGATCTGCTTGTTCCGCCGGCAATACTTCTATGCAGCAATGCTCCAAGACACTTTCTCTATAAGGAATGATCTTTACACGTTCTAGTGTAAGGCTACACCGACACCGGACTGTTACGTATGCACTTTGTGCTTTTCCTTACGTTTCTCCTTACAACTCTGTACAGAACCATAGACCTTAACTCCACATCTGAATTACATGCCCAACTTGCAATCAATCCATAGAAGAAATACCTCATGAGGAAACTTCTAAACTTTTGTTTTCCCATCTCTGTCATCAGATCTAGTAATCTTGGCAAGAAATAACACACTCTATTGATGAGTTACAAATGTTTCTGGTATGCTAACGTCAACCATACTTGCATGGGAAGGCAACACCTACATTCGTAAAGATTAAAATGCAAATATGCAAATATAATCATACATTAAATACAGCAGTGGATAAAACTGATAAAAAGCCCTCCTCGCCAGCTCATACCCTAAGAAAGGAGATGCTTTTAAAAAAAAAGATTAAGAAATATAGGATGCTTGTTGTTATTGTTAAGTGCTATACAGCTCATAGCAACCCTGTGTAACCCTGT